CACCAAGTCTAAGAGGACAGAAAAAAGGACACAAGTTTGCAGGTCACAACCCTGAGCTCTGTCCCTGGACTGCCTCTGCCACAGTGACCTTGAACAAGCAGTCTGCCCTTTCTGTACCCCAGTGATCACCATCTGCAAGATAAAGATGACAGCATCTGCACTGCGTGGGATGCTGTGAGGCTGGACTACTGTTAATGGGGGGCTGGAGATCCTTAAGTGAAGGTATATCTGTAGAGCAAAGCAGCATTAACTGACCTCCAGCACAGAGCTGAAAGTGTCCTTCCCAAGTGTCTACAGTGTGAGCAGCCAGTTTTGCAGTGCGGGGACCACTCAGGTCTGGCTGCAGTCTGACAATTGTCAACACAGGGGAAAAGGTCTCTGCCCCCATACCCCCATGGTAGCTATCTGTTGTGCCACATGCTGGCCTGGACCTGCTGTGAGGTGACACAGCTGGAGGAAGGAAGGCCACAAGCAATTCCTAGGCACTGACCGTGCCACAGCTGGCCACTGCACAGGGCTGTCACATGTCATGCACCCAGTACCTAGAAGAGACATCTGCCTCCCCATTCGGTAGTTCAGAGGGGATGGACTTTTTGCATGGCCTCCACACACAGCCCCATGTCTGGTGTGTAAGCCTCTTCAAAACATCTTGAGCCCCAGCCTTCCGGTTCATTGGGACATCTGATTAACTGTCGTATACATACACTTGTATCCAACTGAGCAAATCACTTGCAGATTGGGCAAAAATACAAGGGCTTTGACTTTGTTACTTTCCTCCTGCCTGGGAACCGTGTTTTGGAGGAGCTTTCCTTGGAGACCCTCTCTGTGCACCCCTGGGACCTGCCGAGGGGAAGAGGTGAGCCCAGCAAGGGAGAGCAGAAACAGTGTTATAATCAGGTGCTCCACTTTATTTTAGAAACATCCTGCAGAGATGGCGACCTCCTGTCACTTTCCTTGTGGGAAAAGTTAGTGTGAAGTGTCAAGCTCAGCTATTTATATCACTGCTGATAGTCTCGCCTGTCTTCTAAAGAGGGGGAAACTTTCTTCCTAACAACCCCCAGGGAAATAAACTCATATAAAGATGATGATTGCACAGGAACAGCCCTTCTGGCTCTCTGGTGTGAATTTCCTAGCTGTTCCTCAAAGCCCCGGCTAGTCCAACCAGAAGGAGTGCACCAGCTGGAGCAAGAAGCCGTGACGTGAAACGTTTGCCTGTCCTTCAGACCGTGCAGCATCACCGAGCGGATGGGCAAAACTGCTCCGAGAGCAATGGACACTTCCCCTCCCACAGAAGAAGGTAGTGCAAAAAAGGAATGGTGGAGAGCAGCCCGTGACTGCCAGCCAGGCATACCAGCAGGTGCCATCCCCGCTGGGGTATTTTTATCATGGAATTTGGCAGTCACAAGGCAGCCCAGAGCTGAGTGCACTCCACGCCTGGCCTGCGGTGTGATATTCGGTTTTCCCCAGCTTTAGTAGCGTTTCAGGTGATGATTAAGCCAGGACGGCCACGTCGCTGGGTTTGTGCCAGGCTGCGCTGCTCTTTGTCACATACGCGTTTCCCGGTGCCAAGATCCCATGACTGCGCACAGCTCCTTTGTTGATCCAGCAGAAAGCTGTCAGCCAAAAGCACTGCTGGGCAGAGGCCCAGCCTACAACTCTGCACGAAGATGCATGACTCTGCTGTCAAGACAGTCTTCTATCAGGTGCTGAGGCCCTGCAAAGATACCCAGAGGTGTCTTTTGCTGAGTCACTCCAGAGTGAGACAAGATTTGCCCGACTGAGTCCAAACTAGGAATATAAAAGGCCACAGATGCTCACACACTGAGAGCTCAAAGCATGCGAGGACAACAGTAGTCTGGGAATGAGGAAAGGGAACTATATGGAAAAATCCCAAGAATAGTAAAGCCCTGAGGAGAAAGTCTAGGTCAGAGGCAGTCCTGCATAGCCAGGAAAAGCTGTCAGGGGGTGACAACAATCCTTCTTTGCTTGCTGGCAGCAGAGAGCTGGATGCTCTCTTCTGTTGTTCTAGAAGGCCGCTGGTGTGGCATTGCAATAACTTGCTAATAACTAAAAAGCATCTAAGCCAAAAACACTGCTGTAGAAGAGGAACTCCTCTTGGTTTCCAAAACCCGTTATCCTGTGGCCACCTACACCCTTGCAGTAGCCACCTCACCTCTCTATAGGGCTGTAGCAAGATGATCAGGAGGTGTCTTGGGGCAGCCCCTCCTTTAAACAGCCTGTGCAGGGGAGCAGCCAGCAGGGAAGGGCAGGGAAAATGGCCCTATTATCTAGTCTAAGTCTCATGGCTGCCAGCCTTGGATCCTTCTGGTTTACATCCTCTTGGAAAATTTTGTGCATGTGTGAGGCAGGTGAATTACTGTTATTCTCGCATCCGTTAGCATTTTCTGGACTTCTCTTGTACTTACATTTGCTTTACTTTGTGTTCTGTACACACCGATTTTTACAATTTGCGAGTGTCTAGGTTTAGTAGTCTTCCCTAGGGAAAACAAGCCATAGTAAAACCCCAAACTACCCGCACATGGTAGAACTAATGGGAAGAGGTGCTCAGTTTATGATTGCACATGCCCATGACAGAAAGGAAAACTCAGCCTTTGGCACAGCCAGGAAGAAGTGTGTTCATTTTTACCCTAACAAGCAAGGTGAATTAAGAAAAGGCATCTGTCAGCTAACAACAGCAGGAGCAATAGGGGCACCTGCAAACAACATAAACTCACCTGGAAGAATGAGGACACCCACCATTGTTCGTGCTGTCTTGGAAGGAATATCTCACTCGTACAGCTGTGCTGCAGTATATTGACACAGGATGTACCTGGAGGTAGCTGGTTGCCTTGTCTGTGCTCTGGGAAAAAAAAATAATAAACCCCCTGATTTCAGTGCAACAGTCTGTAAATATTTCCCATCACTGATTTATCTGCCTGTATTTAATCCCCTGGTGCTCACAGAATGAAGCCATATGCTAATTTCTCCAGAGCGCAGTAACTGCACTAAAGCCATTTCAGAAGGTAAGACAGACCCACACATTCACCGGTTTTTACCAGTGCAGACAAGAGGAGTCAGAAAGACTAGCTGATTTTCTGTGTTACTGCTCCTCCAGTTCTGGGCTGGCAGCAGACGAGAGCTTCTGCATACGCCAAGCAGCCACCAGGATCCACATCAGCACAACTGCAGCATACCTGCCAAAGCAGGGAAGAGCCAAAGCCCATCCTTTGCTTCCCGGTATGCCCCTTCTCCCTCCTCACACGGCTTCTGACAGGCAGCGGGGCAGCAAGTGGTCACCTCCCTGCCTCCTTACACGGGCAATCCTCGCCTTTCTGCACGGCAGCCCTCAGCAGCACCAGGAGTTTAAGGATTCAACCTTCGATCTTTGTCCCATCCATCCTTGCAGATGGACACCGCATATAAACAAGTGATAGCATAAATCATCGTGCGCTGCTACATTAAATTAGATCACTCACATAACCAGAGGGGGGGATATTGTTCCCCCAACAAGTCTATCTCTCTGTTCTCCAGCTTTTGCTCACAGGAAACCTACACAATATTGCTGCAGTAAATTTTCAGCTTTTAACAGTGTCTACTCTCCACAGACGTTCTTTGTACAGTAAAAATAATTGGCTCTTAAAGACAAGACAAGGGACAATAAAGAAGGGGAGTTAACAATGTGGTCCCTACGGCTTTGGGATTTACCTAGTCTAGTGCGTTTAATATTTCATTATGATGATGATTAAGTTCTTCATTTGTTTATTAAAAGGATATTTTAAAAAAGAGCGACTGTGGGAGAATATTATCTCCAAGGTAATACTGCACACTTTATAGCACCTAGCCCTTAACTCATGCACGAGGGAGAGCTTTGCAGTGCCCTGGGAAGGTAAGTATGGTGAATATAACTGGATGAAGTGATTGCTCAAGCACTCCCACAGAGCCCCACAAAAGATGGATTAAACCCATCGTTCTCTTTTTATCCATGAGGTTAAGTGACTTGGCCAGAAACAGTCTGTCAGAAACAGGCTCTCCAACATCTTCACTGCAATCTTACTATCAGCCCACCAAACCTTTCCTCTCATCAGACCACCTACCAAATAGCACTTCCCAGGAGCTGCTGGTCCTTGGGAGGCATTTCAAAGGAGGCTTTTTTCTTTGTCTGTGTCATTTGAACTGTGAATTTTGTTTCAGAGCTTAAGAAAAAGAGGAGGAAGTGAGATCCACCGTGTAGATTTTGCAGCAGTTCCCTCTCAGAGAGGCATGACGGTGGCAGCAGATTAGGTTTACAGGACTGGCACAGCTCACCCAAAGTCTTAACACTCCCCAAACCATTTGCAACTTGTAAATGAAACACTTGCAACTGGCAACACTGCAAAACCAAAGCAAAACCTATGGGCAAGGGGCAGGTGGGCAACAGGAAGATTTTCTCTGCATTTCTTTCAGTAATGGCATCGAGCTCTGAAACGAAGTCCAGAGCTGCGAGCACTTCATGTTCCAGGGCGCAGGAATTGCACAAAGGCAACATATGAAAGTGCCAAGGCACTGCTCAGACCAAGCTGTAGACTCCAGTCTTATCTCCCAGGGGATCAGCCCATTAAGGATTCCCGAGAGCACAGTTTGCAGACAGATGACTGCTGCTTTAACTACACAGTCCACAGAGGATGCAATATGCAGACTGCAGTGAAAGGACTTTCTGAACCAGGAATAAATCTGGCTCACCCTCAAAGTTCTGGCAGCCCGTTTAACAGGTTGTAGTTGGGTTATGCAAAATAGATCACTTTCTTTTTCAGTAGCTGAATAAAAAAAAACCACAAACAAACCCAAAGCATTGTTTTCAGTGGATGTGAAACAAAGTTTTCAGCAAACCAGACCTCATTCATTTCAGGTCAAATGAAAACATTTCCTTTCACACAAACCAAATCATTTCACTCCTCCACGCATTCCTGGTTGCGCATTTCCTAACCCTCCTTAGAATCACTCTTTTCTATTTTCTCCCACAGAGGCTGTGTCCAATTCTCCCTTCAACACTTCTCACCCCTCCTGGTGAGCAGAAATGGGGGACTGGAGTTTCCTAGGAGAGTTCCTCGAGGAGGTCCACAAACACTCCACAGTGGTGGGGAAAGTCTGGTTGACCGTGCTCTTCATCTTCCGGATGCTGGTGCTGGGTACAGCAGCTGAGTCCTCCTGGGGGGACGAGCAGTCTGACTTCATGTGCGACACCCAGCAGCCCGGCTGTGAGAATGTCTGCTATGACAAGGCTTTCCCCATCTCCCATGTCCGGTTTTGGGTCCTCCAGATCATCTTTGTCTCCACCCCATCTCTAGTATACATGGGCCATGCAATGCACACCGTGCGCATGGAGGAGAAGAGGAAGATGAAGGAGGCAGAAATAGAAGCCCATGAGATGAAGAACAACGGTGACACATACTACCAGCAGAAGTGCCCCGTGGCAGAGAAGGCTGAGCTGTCTTGCTGGGATGAATCAGGAGGCAAAATCATACTCAGGGGCAGTCTGCTGAACACCTACGTCTACAGCATTTTGATTCGCACTGCCATGGAAGTGGCCTTCATTGTGGGACAGTACATCTTGTACGGGATCTTCCTGGAGACACTGTATATCTGCCAGCGGGCACCTTGCCCCCACCCTGTCAACTGCTACGTTTCCCGTCCCACAGAGAAGAATGTGTTCATCGTCTTCATGCTGGCTGTGGCAGTGCTCTCCCTATTCCTCAGTCTGGCTGAGCTGTACCACTTGGGCTGGAAGAAAGCCAAAGAGAGGTGCTCCCGGTCTTACAAACCCAGCCCCAGCACAGCCCCCGGCAGATTGGAGTCTGCCCCGCAAGTGGAAAGGGCCCAGATGTACACACCTCCACCAGATTTTAACCAGTGCTTGTCAAGTCCCAACGGGAAGTTCATCAGCCCCTTCAGCAACAAGACGGCCTCCCAGCAGAACACTGCCAACTTCGCCACCGAGAGAGTCCATGGCCAGGAGGATGCCGCTGGCGAAGGGCCCTTCATTAAGTCCAGCTACGTGGAGAGTCCAGAGGTGGCCAACGAATGCGCGGCACCCGCCTTCCCCGAGAACTACTTCAATGAGAAACGCCGGTTCAGCAAGACCAGCCGTGCCAGCAGCAAGGCAAGGTCAGATGATTTGTCTGTGTGACCTGCCTCCAGGAGGGATGAGGAGAAGGAGCAGTCTTAGCACTTAGTAAAACTTCTGCAAAGCGGACTCCAGTCTCTTGCCACTAGGCTCTCTCTGTTTTAACACGCTCTTGCTCCTTTTCAGTGAACATCATTGTTATATTGCAGACAGCACCTCTCACAGCTTAAGGCAGGGACAGCCACTGGGAGACATGCATGGAAGAGAAGCACCAATCTCGAGATGTGAAGCTCTCGGCCATATTTTCATCATGGGACCCACAGGGATTGGAGACTCACCATCTTTACCCTGGTAGAGCACAGGCCAGAAGACTCCTGAGGCTGCCCAGCTGGTACCCACCGCGACACTGTATTCAACAGACTGACTGGACCTCAACCCCCTTGCATCTTCTTTGATGTCTATTCAACATTCTCTACAGCTTGGCAATTATACTGAGCTGAAGCTTCTCTCACTGGCAGGGAGCAGAAACACACCTGTAGGCTTTCTGAAAGACTTTCTCATCTGCTTTGTTCTCGCTCTTTCTAACTGTCCCTTTCTCTACCTGAGCCCAGATATTTTATACCAGTTTACCTATAAAGTAAACCCTACTTGAATTTTTTGACACTGTGTATAGAACTCTTCCCCACAAATAAGGACGTCCGTGGTCCCCCATGCACAGCTGCCTCATGTCCAACATTGGAATCCCTTCCTCATTCCTAAGTCAGCGCAGAAGACTGGCCCCAGGGATATCGCTTAGACGACCAGTTGATGAAGACTAGGGAGTTTTCCCAAGATACTTATGTCATCAATTCTAAGCAAGACATCCATTAACAGAAATAGAGACTCTCCTGCGAGAACAGATATCTTACTAGTAAAAGAGACGAACTATCATGTGGAAACAAAGTGGGTTTCCCTTTTTAAACTTGTCTTTCAAGCAACCTGAATGCTGCTGAAAGGGTGCTGCCAGCAGCCCACTTGAGAGAAAAACATCCTCTGTTTATCTGCAGAAGAGGTACAGCCTGTGTCTTCTTCTCACTAACCCACCAAAACACTTCAGCATCTTTTGCAAGGAGCAAGAGTCCTCTCCGGGTCCTGCACAACATTCAGCTCTTGGCTGCTCTCTCAAGCCTACGAGCCAGTGCAAGCCAAGATATTTGTCCTCGCAGCAAGTCCCTGTTCTGCCATCAGGTCATCTTCATCTCCACTCCATCCCTAGCACATATGGCATAAGAAACCACCCATGGACCAGCTCCTTCCACCACTGTAGCCTCTCAGAGAAGCCACTGGGACCCAACACTGCAGTCTGGTGGCTGAGGTCTGTAGGCAGCTCCCACTCTAGGTATGTTTTCTCAGTGCAGGGCTGACATCCCTCTTTTAAAGAGATTTGCTAAACAGAGCTAAGCTGCTCCCCGTTGTTCACCCTGCGCTGCCTTTTTGGACACAGGCCACAGCTTCCCAATATTGGACTGCATGAGCGAATGGCCGGGACCAGCTGATGAGGGGACTGAGCCATTCCCTCTCTTAGGGACACTGAAAGGGATTGTGAATCCTTGCTCTTGATACATAGGTAGCTTTGGTACAGTTCCCTGTACATATACATACATATTCACACACACAGAGGGGGAAAACCATTTTTTTGTTTGTAAGGTGTTTTATATACATGTATTTCTTAATAGTTAATTGTGCCTAGGTTTCTCCTAATAAAGTTCTAACTCCATCTCTCCTTGCTGATGTTTCTCCTCTCATGTGGCTGAGAAAGAGCTGCTAGCATCGATCAGGCTGCCTGCCAGCCTCTGCTGCTCAGAGATCACAAAAATTCCCATCGCCCAGAGTGGCAGGGATGAGGGGAGGGCTTGGCCAGGGGGATAAATAATAAACATTGGGAAATGATTGATTGACTGGCTAACAGAAACCCCCTCCAGCTCCCCTGCTTGCCTCTGCAGTACCAAGGAAGACTGGGAAGAGCTGGCCAGAGAGCAGAGCTTCCATCCTCTTGCAATGGAAACGCTCCCTCCTTGCATCCCCTAGCACACCTCTGCACCCAGAGAAGCCACCTGCGAAGTGAGGCCAAGTCAGTGGGAAAAGGGTAGCACAACCTGTCCCCTGAGCATCTGGTGGCTTGTCCATGCAGTAACAGGGCCCTGAAGGGCTTTTTAAGAGGCAAGGTCTTGAGAGACACTGAGAATCCACTGCTAACAAACTGCAAAGAGCTCCTGGGGGTGCTCATCTCTCTTAAGATGTAGTTGCCCAGCCCAAAGAAAACCCTTTCTTCCCCCAGCTGATGCCTCTCTTCTGAACTTCATCCCTTGCTCCCACTTTCTGATTTTCACAGGCTCCCTCCTTCTGACCTTGGATCCCCCTGTCCACCCAAAGGAAGTGCCCTTCCTTCCTTTCTCCACACAATCTCCCATCCCATGGGACTCTGCAGGCTGGGAAGCTGGAGACCAGTAAAGTACTGGGTCCCAGCAAGGAGCCTGAGAGGGGGCATTAAAGAATGAAACCAGAATTTGATGAGGACACTGGGACAAAGACCTTTAACTGTGTTAGAAACTGCAGGGACCCTTTAAGATTAAAGGAGCCTTGGTTTGGGGGTTTTCAGCCCAGAAAGGAGGATGCCACCCGAGCACCCACAGCCACACAATGCAGCAAGGAGGCAGGATTAGTCCTGCAGGCCTGGGGTTTTTAACTGGCACGTGCACAGCCCTGAGCGTGCCTATCCCCTAGGGTGTCACCTTGCTGGGAGACATACACAATGAGTAGGTCAGGATCACTCCCCTTGGAAAACTTGGCTATTGAGTGATATTACTGTTTCATAGGGCCACTCAAGCACTAACCCAGGCCTTGTTTAATAACCTATTCTTCGTTTATAACAAGCAATAGCCCAAACTTTAAAACCTCTGAGCTACAGTCTCTGCTGGAGAGCAAGGTATAGCCGAAAAAATGAGGATAAGGATCTCGGCTATGCTGTTTCAGACCTCTACAATCCCAGCATGTTCACAGGTGGTGTTTTGGTGATCTTTGAGACCACAGGAGTACAACCATCCCAGCTCTCTGTCTCCCAGCCAAGAAAATACATGTATCAAAGCAGATAATCTCCCTCTGCCACTCATTTCTTAATGCCTCCCTGGTTCTGTATTCTAGGTAAAACAAGTGGGGAATATTTGATGGATAGATGTTTGCACTGGCTGACAGACCGTAAACTTGTGATTCTTGGAATCCACTGTCAAGGCCGGCCAGGCTATCATACCACAGTAGGAGCACATTACTTCAGCCAGCAAGCAGAGAGGCTGGCCTGTCATTTCAGACAGATTTTGTATTTATTGCTTTGTACCAGATGGATGGATGAACAATCTTATAGTTGTGACCTAAATCAACATTATATATTAAATTCAGCCTTTGGATAGGCACTCAATCTTTAAATGGCAGCGTTACAGAGACAATGCTCGGGGAGGGGGGCGGGAGGGACGGGCAGGAAGAAAACGTGAGAGCTTTTCATTCTGCTCTTGTCCCTGTTTTCTCCAGCATCTTTCCTGCTGGGGTCTGCCCAGCTTCTCAAAACTGTGAATTTTCCAGTGACAGCTGGAACCAACATTTAACAGAAATACCGTCCCCAGTCATCTCCTTGCTCAGCACACCTCAAGCCATTTCAGCATCGCCTCCTCTAACTGGTGTCTGAAGGAGCCAGAAGTCAGTTTTGATCTACAGCCCTGTGCTGATCAGCTGCCGAGCCTAAGACAGGAGAACAGGGAAACGTGTGTTTCAACAGGCTCTTAAAACAGAAATATTTAATCCTATAAAAGGAAAAGCTATATTTAAAAATATATAGAATGCCAAAACTAACAAAGTAATGGATCGAGACAAGGTCATGCCTGTAAGTCCCTCTCCCCAAACAGCACAGTGGGACAGCTGAGCAGGCTAAGAGACAAATGAGGAAGAAATTCAGAGAGAGATACTTAAAAGTAATGGCTGATCTAGAGCACGTGGGTCAAGCAAGTTGTTTCCTCCTTCAGGATACGCGAGCAAAGCGATACTGAAGCAAACTCAAAGCTGGTAACATTTCAGACTGTTAAAAGGGAACAGGTAAAAAGATGCCAGGCTGCACAATCTCCCCTTAAACACTTTTCCATGAGATATCACTGAGGCCAAGGAACTACGAAGATCCAAAACCAAAAGAATAAAAGCACTGTGTGTTCACAGGAATGAGAACATCCTTGACGGGACCGCAAATGGCCAAAGTACGAAGAATGCAGAAATTCATAATTCAAAAAGTCAGCGTAGCGTAGCAGAGAGCCTGACCCACAGCAATGGCATCACTGTTGACCGCCAGCATCAGCAGGAGCTGTGGAGAAGCAGCTCTCCCACCAGCACTGCTGCTGCCTCCTGGGACGTCTGGGACTAACACAGGCAGGAGGGGAACCGCTGTCCCCAGGGGACCCCCCTCTGTCGCTGCTCCCCTGGGAGGGTCTCAGCAGCAACGCAGTCTGGCCAAAAGGATGCCCAGGTTCTTTATGAGCCTGGGCTCAGCAGGGTCCAACTGCCCCAAGGGATTTTGGCACCTCCTCCCAGCAGGGGTTACAGGAGGGAATCCTGTACAGGGCTGATGCCAGGTTTTGCCTACATCTGTGAATAAAGCACAAAATTTCGGTGATTAGGTTACCAGCTGCAGCAGAGGTGCAGATGGATTGAGAATGAGGATGGGGAGCGGCAGCTTCTTAAGATACAATTTTTAGGGGGGAAAACTGTGACTTTGAAGCGCAAAATTAATAGCTTTGCTTTTGCCTTAAGTGTTCATTGCTTGTATGGTGTAGATGATTAAAGATCTTTCTGGAGACCACAGGAATTGCAATACCATATATATATATACACACACATATAAAAAATATTGTCATGAAAACGTGATGACAGAAAAAGAAAGAAGATCTAATCAGCTTATAACATTCACTCTAGCCAAATAATGCAGAACTGCTTCATTTTTCCTCCAGTGAACATTGGTTTACATTTTTTAAAATTAATTTGCCGAGACCATATTCACATACCACCACTGGTTTCCCACAGACATTTGAGCAATTGAGTTTGACGGGCAACAGAGTTCTCAGAAAGCAAATGTCAGTCATGGAAACTAAATTTTAAATTCATATGGGCCAATATCCACCCCAGAGGCAGCTTTGTGTTCCTCCAGCCACCGGGAAGCACAAACAATATTGCATAACCAATCCTGCCAATCACAAACCAAACAACACACCTCCACCAAAGAGTACGTGCAATAAATACACACCAAAACATGTTTTAAAGACAGTTATGTATTAGATCAGTAACGGCAAACATGCGAGAGAAGTGTGATGTACTGGCTGGTGGAAATGGTGGTTACTTCAAACGCATTTTTAGGTCCCTTCCACTGGGCCCCAGGCGTTACCCAAGACATGGCTGGGAATCCTCAATGCCCACACAGGAATCCCACAGAAGGATGTATGTGGATAAGGGGCACAGAAGACCCTGCTTTCTCAGCTGCTCAACCCTCAGAGGGTTTCGTCACCCCCTCGCAAGCCCCTACACTTCCCGAGCACAAATGTAGCAAGAGCACCGTGAAGGCACTCCGACACTGGCATAAAACATACTCCTCTGTCCTCTAACGCAGTTTGCCATGCCGGGCTTCATAGCCTACCTATTAACACAAACCCACCAGTCTCTGGATGAATAAAAGCAATCATACCACCTTTGCTGGCAAAAGGTATTCCCCCAGAACAAGTCAGGAAGCAAAACTCAGAAAAGCTGCAATATCTACATATTCCTTTAAAATTATCTCTGGATCGAGGCCTGTAGGACTGATACATTAAGCCACTTTCCTCCCTCAAGGTGGCTACATCCCATTAGCAGATTAGGCACTTTTTTCTTTTTTCATTTCTGTAGTACAAACTCCATTTGGCTGGCCTGTGACAAGCTCCTGCAGGGCAACAGCCCCACTGCAGCGTTTGCGGGAGCAAGACCAAGGCCCCTGCAGACCACTGTTATTTTCTGGGAGGACATATCCATCTCTCGGGGCTGGATTACAGCAAGAAGGTGTTCAGGGATTACTCAGAGCTGGGTTTTGTGACTCACTATTCATATGCAGGAGCTCCTCTTTATTGTAAGGTTAATTTAGATGGAAAGGGGTAAGACAGAAGGGGCAAAGCTAGTGATCAAAATGAACTTAAAGACATATGAGAGAGTTAAATTTTCTTGTTTGTGTTGGACATGAACCTAACCTTAAAAAGGCATGTTGGTGATGGTCAGCTATATGACAATATAAAGAAAGCAAAAGAAACATTGAGTGATTTTTCTAGAAGCTGG